GACAGGATGCATTCCTGGCGTACGCCCTTCCCAATTTTGAACCATGCAGTGTTCCCTTGCTCTGTTCTGATGACTGCCTCCTGGTCCAAGTATAGGTTTTGCATTAGCACGATCAAGTGTTCTGGGAATCTCATTCTTCTCGGAGTCAGCCATAGTTTGTTATGATCCACACGGTCAAATGCCTTTGCATAGTCAATGAAACACAGATAGACATTCCTCTGGTATTCCCTGCTTTCAGCTAAGAAAGACATATGGATGTTAATTAATAGGAAGGCAATATGGAACTAGAAGTCGGGATGAATTATTTAACAATAAATTATGTCAGTTCAGGGAAAACAAGTTCTTTTTTCCTTTATTCCTATGCCTTCTCCTGGGCCCTCAACACTCCTTGCCATTCATCCGTAATTTTTTATTACTACATCACAGCTGTGTTGAGACTTTTCTGTTTCAAAGCCCAGAACAACACACCCTCACTTACAACTTCTTTACAGAGATGGAGACATTAGCTTCTGTAATTTTTTTTCAGTCACAAAAACTATATCTTATCAAATGCTCTCCTTTAACCTGAAGTCCACTCTACCTACACCCTTGGTTCTAATTTCTCTAGTGCTTCCATGAATACCTATCGGTATTCTTTCATCTCCAGAATCTTCCATTATCCATGTCTTTATCTTGTTCTCAGTAGGCAAGGGCGGTGTTCTTGCGACCAAATATGTCATAAAACCATCACTTTCTTTCTCATTCCATATACTTTCCAAAATTATAGTCTATATGCACTCCCTTACTGTAACCTCTTGCTATCTGATTTCTAACCATTATAAAAACTGCTATTCTCTTGAGGCACCAGATCTGAAGGTCTTTCCTGCTCCTTCACCTCTGTCTCTCTGTGACATATGGCATCATCTCTCATGGCTTCGTTGACACTCTGTTTAATAGACCCAATGCCAAACTTAATTTTTCTCCCAAAACATTTAATGGTATTACTATTCTCTCTGAGTTTGGCTAAAAATTTTGATTGTTATGAAAGTTTCTCATCTTCTAAAATGTAATAATTTTTCCAATTTCCAAAATCAAGCCTTTTTACTGTGTACTGGGTAGAATCAGTCTGTCTTCTTTCTGTATCCCCACTGCCACCATCCTGTAGTAATTCTCACTGAGACTATAACTGTGGCACAGATTGTGAGAAGGGTAGAGCAAGGTTTCGATCTGTTGTTTCTGAAGTGTAGCGAGCCTCACGGTTCCTAACTGTGCAGCTGTCTAATCTCTCAGACTTCAGTCTCTTCTCCTGTCTGTGCACACAGCTGCTAATGCCAGTTTCCCCAAAGGATTAACTTTCTCATGCTCATCAGCGAATTAAAGTCTGTCCTTATCCTGCACTGCATACAAGGCATGTGTGTGTGTGCGTGTGTGTGTGTGTGTGTGTGTTCATTCTACTATCAGAACCACTTACTGAGCTTTTTAATCAGTGAACTGAGGAGTGATGGTAACATCTCTTAACTGTCAGTCAAGGGGGGAATCTCGTTCATGTCAAGATGCTGAATTCATACTTCGAGGTTACACGATGTTCTGAAACCCTTCTGATTCAGCTGCTCATACCGGAGAGAACGGACTTTCACTCAGAAAATGTTGATTTCTGTGTGTGTGTGTGTGTGTGTGTGTGTGTGTGTG